GGTTAATCAGATTACTTATGAAAATGTTGAATACTAACACACTGGCCATAGCTTTCGCAGAAGCGGTGGGTCCATCGCAGCGGCGGTGGAATATTCGTCGCAGAAGCGGTGGATAAGATATGGCCGTTTGCTATTGTCGGTAAGTTTATGACTGAATTTTACTTTGTGTTTTAACGTTTTAGTAGAATTACCTAGTGAGACTGGTTCTCTTCTAACTTATCACACGCACACAGTGCTATTCATGGCCATTTATGCAAACACTTCCATACAGTTTGACGAGGAGACGCCATTTTTGCTTTATTTTGGAAATAACACGTACACATGTGTACAAAAAGACACCTTAATACACCAGCACTACATCGAATGTATGATACTTGCACAAAAATCCATATTTTGGAGTTTTTTGAAAATTATTTTTGTCTTTTTCATAAAAGAATTGACAAACATTTATTACAACGCAGACAGCGTTAGCAACGCGGTACGGTGGGCCCGATAACATTATTGTCTTTTGTGGAGGGTTTAACTTGCCATAACGCTTATTTCAATAGAGTTAAACCCTTTTATTACTTTGACATCAGAGAACCGTGCTTAATTTGTGTTTAAGATAATATGATTATGTAATAATTATATATACAAATAGATGTTCGAGTTCCGCTCCCATTTTCCTTCCATTGAATATTCCTTTGCCGGTACATTTGTATTTCCATAGCAATCTTCAACATTTTCATAGAATAGTCTACGTTCAGTCTGGGATTTAAAAGACCTTAAGTTCCAGGTTCAACAACAAAAATGTAAAAGAGAAACTCATAAAGATTAACAGAACATGCTTCTTGAATATGAAGAACGATCTAAGTTTTGAATGACACTTTGTTATATCATCATACTGAGAACACCAATTTATAATTGTATATTGTATCACGATTTTGAGACCTTTTAGTTGGAAATGTGTTACAGATAAATCATATCGTATACATATATACATGCACAGTGCGTAAACTTGGTTACAGGTATTAGTTTCCGCACTTCATAGCAGGCTCATTGATTGGCTCTTTTTTTGAGGTTTACATAATATAAAGACAGACAAAATGATAACGATAGAATATCATATATATACTGTGCTCCTCTTAGTTCACGGTACTTAATGCTTTGAAACAAGAAAGAAAACAACAAATGAATCCTATGGTACAAAAATTGTCATAAGCTATAACATATAGGTATTTTCTGCTGTATGGCACAAGGAAACAACTTTAACGGACTATTGTTGCTTTTGGCACACATTTGTAAAATGTTGTTCTGTATTGCATAAAAATCTAGAGATTTAATTATTTTGCACAAAAGCTTTGTTGTTTAGGTGTATGAATAAAATATGTCGATTCTGACGAAGTCTAACTCCGGTCATATGAAAATATGCCATTATCGTGAATTAAGTGATGGCGCGGAATTAGTGATGTTGAGTATACATTTGCTCGTACATTGGTTACTTTTTCAGGGAACGTGTTTTCATTTTGTGCCTATGATACAAAAGAGCTTGTAACCGTTTTTTTTTACCAATAGCTGCAATGATATTGTTATAAACCGTGCACATCATATGCATGTAAAGATTTAACGTATATAACATTTTAAAACGAAACACAATATGAGAATTTTGTAAACAACAATCTTTGAAGTTTTCAGTTTTACTCGAACTGCACTGTACATTGTCGTTATAAGGATGAACGTACCACGCCACGTTTCATAATGATTTACAACCTTATTGTAATTACGCTAAAACGTGCCGTGATTTAGCGCAAGAAGCACACCGGTAGTAACAAAAGTTACCACAAGAACTTTAGGGCATCTTCTGAGTTATCACAAGAACTCTAGGACATATCGAGCATAAATTGCCATAAATTTGTTAGCCGGTGCTTTATTATTGCAGCTTTGCATTATAATTAGGTTATTATGTATGGCAAAGATGAAGATCATAAATGAGCAGGTCAATATGTGCGAATTAGAAAAAAGTTCGGGGATTTTACATAAAAATACCAGATTTTAAACAAGAGGCGATGAAAAATGGACTATAAAGTAGTATTTGACACATAATACAAGATGCAAGACAAGCGTGGTGATCAAACATTAATTCAGCACCTAAAACACACTTTGTAAAGATGAAAATGACTGTGGTGCCGTACAATGTCGCATTTACTGCTAAATGTCGCACCATTGACGCTAAATGTCTCAACTGCCGCACATTGTCGCAAAATTGTCTACCGTTAAATATCTCAATTGTAACGTTAAGTATCGCACGATTTATCCTTACAGTTAAATGTTGCACAAGTTTAATTCATGTCAAACAAGTAGCTGGTAATATTATGTTAATATTACCATTATATGTGTAATCTGAGAACAAACTATCTATAATGTTGGAAATGATTTGCTGTAGTATTTAAACTAATTGGATGAAATGAAGTCATCTTTAGTTAGTTGGTATTATAAATTGACGACCACAATTTATGCCAAAAGTCACTTGGTGATTTAACACATTTGTATCCGCTTTCCTCTCCCGCCTTTTTGAAGAAAAAGAGGAATATATAAAATGGTTCCGTCCGTCTGTCCGATCTTTAACTCGGCCATTCATCAAGGGATTTGTTTATATAACAAATGTTCACAAAATTAGGACAACCTGTCATACGAAACAACCAGACCTCCACGGTGGTCCCAATTGGAGATCAAATGTCACTTGGCCCAAATGCTCACTTATGAAAACGTTATGGGTTAGACAAGATATATACTCCCCATCAAACTATGGTTATATTTACAAATAGCCGTTTATATAGGGCCATATCACCTGTCAACGATCTTTATAACTAATAATATAAACGTCACGATTATCTAATGAAAAATGACGTTACAAACGTGCGAATAATGAAAAATTATATTATTTTAAACACCAAATAAACACGTTTGTCTGATGTCAAAGAAAGAAAAGGGTTGTACTCTATTGAGGAATGCGTTATGGCAAGTTAAACCCTCACACAATACATTCATGTTATCGAGTCCACCACCATCTGCGTTTTAATCAATTTTTGTCAATTCTTTATTGAAAATGCAATACCAATTTCCAAAAGTTCAAAACTATGGTTGTTTTGTGCAAGTATCATACATTCGATGTGATGCTGGTGTATTAAGGTGTCATTTTGTACACATTTGTACGTGTTATTTCCAAAATAAAGCAAAAATTGCGTCACCTCGTCAAGCTGTACAGAAGTGTTTGCATAAATGGAAATGAATAGCACTGTGTACTGAGTAAATATGTGGGCTCCAGTCTCACTTGGTGTTTTCATTTAAACATAAAGTAAAATTCAGTCATAAACTGCACATCAGCATACGGCCATATTTTATCCACCGCTTCTGCGACGAATACTCCACGCCGCTGCGATGGACCCACCGCTTCTGCGATAGCTAATGAGAGTGACTTAATTTTGCTGTACGTAAAATGCGCATGCGAGAATTGTTACTACTGTTTCTAAAGAAATATTGAATTGTAAAAAGGCAATGAAATGTAAAGTTTACAGGTATTTGTCTTTAATTACATTTTTTATGTCATTTTCTTTCAGACTAAATGGACTTATTCATTATTAAGTCTACAATTTTCGGTGTTTTTAGCTCAACTATTCGAAGAATAAGTAAAGCTACCCTAGTACCCCGAGCGTCGGCGTAACCAATTATGTTTATGTTTGCGTATAACATCAAACATTTTCAAAGTCAATTGACAAATGGTTTTGAAACATGGCATACTTGTTCACCATCATGCCCTTTGGCCCTTTATGAACTTAGATAATTTAACATTATCAAATTTCATTCACTACCAGGCACTGAGAATAGCGAGCACGCTGTCCTACCGACATATCTTGTTGTTGAATTTAATTATCCTCCGCCGATAGATTCGGGAGGCGGGTAATGTTTTGGCGTTGTCCGTCCGTCCATTTTCCGTCGGAAGTGCATATGATCGCCTTGTTCTTGGATCAAACTATTCAACACAGAGATTTGGCCGTTGATTAGTTATGCAATGTGCAGATAGAGCAATAATCGTTTCCGCGCTACTTTTTATCCGACTAATGCCTAAAATTCGACGAAACTTTATGGGAATCACCAATTCCAAAATGAGTTGGCATGTCGTCGCCTTGTTCGGGTCGGGCCCTTCAACACAGTTATGGCTTTTAATTACTTATGCAGTATGCATATAGAACAATAATCGTTTACGTGCTACTTCTCTGCAACTACATGCTGGGATTCAACGAAACTTTATTGGAAGCATCAATGCCTAGAGGAGATGCGCATTTCATCGCTTTGTTCGGGTATGTCCCTTGAATACAGAGTTAAAGCCCTTGATTAGTTATGCAATATGCATATGGTCCGAATTTCGTTTCTGCGCTATTTCTCTGCAACTACTGACTGGAGTACAAAGAAACTTTTAAGGAGCCATCAATACTAACAGGAGATAGGCATATGGTCGCATTGTTCCGGTCAGACCCTTCAACACAGTTATTGCCCTTCATTAGTTATGCAGCATGCATACAGAACAATAATCGTTTCTGTGCTATTTCTCTGCAGCTGCTGGATTGATTTCAAGAAAAATTTGAAGAAACGATCAATACAAATTGGAGATGCGCATATCATCACCTTGTTCCGGTCAGACCCTTCAAGACAGAGCTATGACCTTTGATTTGTTTCACATTATTCATATACAGAAAAAATCGTTTCCGCGCTATTTCTCTGCAAGGACTGGCTGAAATTCAACGAAAATTTATATGAACGGAGATGTGCATATCGTCGCCTTGTTTTTACTGTTTATTACATGATAAATATATAAATAAATAAATGTATGTATATATGAAATAAAGGCTTATGTACCAGTTGTTGTGTTAGTAATAACCAGTACTCGGCGGGGGAAATAAGTTCAACGAGTTTGCTTGTTTTCTTAATATTTTTGTATTATTGTTATATATTTATGCTTACAGATTGAAAATGGAACGTAGCGAAGGGAAAACGTCTTTACTATGCCTCTTTCTTTTTACATATTGTCGTAAGTTTGTTGAGAATAATTTGATTTGCACAAATATTAAACTCAAAGTAATTGTCTCAGACTTTATTTTCATAGCAAGTTTCACATGAAACAATTATCTCTGTATATTTTCATTTGAGAGACAAAAGTTCTTTTTAATATAGATATTGACAAAATTTAAATATGCAAATGACATTTAAAAAGTAGAATAAGATGATGACAATTAATTTATAGATTCAGTTTATGTTTTTTTTTTTAAATATTTACGAACTCGAATTGCCACATACGTTTATATTGATATGACCCCATATATGCTATCTATACTGATCACACTTTTACTATCTTTAAGTACAATGTCGCTGTGATATACCCGTTGTACAGAATTGGCCTAGTTCTGTCACTTTACCTGAAAACATACCTATAGGTAAGCAAAAGATTAATATATCTGAATTATTATCAGTTATGTTTTACTACGTTCTGTAAATACATATATTTCTTTTAAAAATGACCAGGTCAGAGTTGATTTTGTAAGTTTTCAAAAGAATATTTATTTGTTTACATTTCGATAAAAACTCGCTTTCATAGATGATAACAGCTATATTTTTCAACACACTGTACACAATAAATTATGTTTGTATACTTACTTTAATCAATGTCAGACACAATAGTATTGTTTAATGTTTCCCAAATAGAATAGTCGAAGCAACACATGTTTGTTTAAATCACATACACAAAACGTTAAAGTGTGCCACGAACCTAACGTCTGCAAGGTATGTGGGTATGTTCGTTAAATTTATCAACTCATTATTTGAAATGGCATGGAAAGGGCAACTGCAAATATCTTTTAGCTTACTGGTCGTTCATCGTCAATGTTGTTTTCAACTGAACCCATTGGCTCAAAATTTAGTCAAACAAAGCCTTTTAATATATTTCATTCCATACAAATATTTGGTTGACATGACAACAAAAAGCAAACTGCTTGAGACACTTCTTGTCGAAACACGCAAGGTTAACAGCATTGAATTAAAGTATCGTTTGGTTTAATTTGTCTGTCAATTATGCATACATTATAGCGCTCATCAAAATAATCGAACTAACATTAATTTTATCCTTGTAATTATGAAAAGTTATATTCGCTTAAAGTAATAATCGTCATCAGTTCACCACATTTACAGTCGATAAGTTTATTGTTTTATATGACAGCGGTAAGTAAAAGTCCTACTTTTGGTGAGAATCGTTTCTCTTTTTGTTCCCCCACATGACGTGGGTGATTTAGATTTATCCTTGTCGGTCCGTACGTCGTCCGTGCGTCCTTTTTCATGTTTTTTCGTACGTAGCTCAAAAAGTATTTGACTTAGAGTCATGAAACTTTACAGGAATGTGAGTCAGCATATGTAGCTGTGTACCTTGGTTTCGCTTATGGATTTATTTCCTTTTGTCAGAGTTATGTCCTTGACTAAGTAAAAATTTGCAATTTTGTCGCACGTAGCTCAAAATGTATTTGGCCTAGAGTCATGAAACTTTACAGGAATGTTGCTCAGCATATCGCATTGTGTTTTGCTTCTGTATTTATTCTGTTTTTTTCAGAGCAATTGACCTTGACTATGTAAAAATTTGCAGTTTTTAATTTTGTCGTGCGTAACCAAATGTGTATTCAATCTAGATTCATGTATTTCCATAGGAATGTTGGTCAGTACATGCAGTTATGCACCTGGGTATATTCGTGTAGATTTAATTAGTATTTGTAGAGTTATTGTCCTTGATTTAGTAAATTTGCAATTTTCAGCTTGTGTCGCACGTAGCTCAAAAAGTACTTGACTTAGAGTCATGAGACTTTACAGGAATATTGCTTAGCATATGACGTTATCAACCTGGGTTTTGTTTATGGATTTTTTTTCTGTTTTGTCAGGGTCAGGGTCAGTCCTTGGCTAAGTAAACAATTGCAATTTTGTCGTGCGTAGCCCCAAAACGTATTTAAGATAGTCATGAAATTTCATAGGAATGTTTGTCAGCATACGTAGCTATCCACATGGGCGTTTGTTTCAGATTTATTTAGTCAGTATTTGTAGCGTTTTTGGCCTTTACTTCATTAAAATTTGCAATTTCCATCTTGTGTTTCATGTAGCTCAAAAAGTATTTGACCTAGAGTCATGAAACTTTAGAGAAATGTTGGTCAGCATGATTGTGTAGCCGTGGGGTTGATAGTTGATCTTTGTGTTTCTTTACATTTTCTTATACATTTATCTCTAATGGATATGTTTGACTGGTATATCTTTAATATGTTTCTTTCCCTTGAGTTTGACTGATAGGTGATTCTTCTCATGTTGTTAGGAGGTGATATTAATTTGAAATTTGAGCTCTAGGTGAATGTGGAATTTTATTGTTTTGCTATTATAAAGCATCTTGCGGGTCCTTTTAAATGTTGTTTTTCTGTCTTTGTTTGGCTTTTGTTTGTCTGTATTTCAAGGTGTTATTTTAGAACCAATGCGTTTTCTCTAAGAATCAAAACGGCTACGCATGACAGTACGATTGTGACAGTACGATGGCGAAGCGCAACAGTACGATGGTGTCAATGTGTCAATACGACAATACGATGGCGTAGCGCGACAGTGACAATACGACAGCTAGGGGGCAAAGCGCGACAGAACGATTTTGACAACGTATTGTCGTATTGTCACCATTGTTCTGTCGCACAGCCACCATCGATCTGTCACAATCATTCTATCGCGCATCTCTGACTCAATCTCCATCGTATTGTCGTACTGTCACCATCGTACTATCATAAGCGTACTGTAACCATCGTATTGTCATGCACCACCATCGTACTGTCACCATCGTACTGTCACCATCCTACTGTCGTATTGTCACCATCGTACTGACATGCTTCGCTCTTTTCGTTCTCAGAGAAAACGCGCTGACACAATATGTGTTGTTCCTCTGTATGAAAGGCTGTATGCGTCTGGTCTGTATTGTTCATTGTTGAGGTTTGCCATATTTCCAAATTGTTTTAGCTGTGTTCATCTTTGCATAAAGAGGCTACCTTCTTTCTTGTTTTTTAAAGTGGAAGTGTTCTAGCACAGTATATTGAGTATCTTTAAGTTTTAAAGCTGCTTTGTATTGTGTATTTTTATTCTTTGTCTTTAATTAAATTAAATCTGATGACTATAGGTCATTGTTTGGTCTGATATCTTGAACTTTTTTTCTTTTCCTTTTATGTATGTTTTTCTACTTCAAGAATTGCATATCTACCCCTCTTAATTCCTTATTTCGCACATCTAGTCAAAAGAAGATCAGCTTATTTTCCATGAGTTTACACTGTATTTTAAGAATTAATACTAATTGCGTGCTTGTTTTTTTCTTTGGTTTTCATTTTTCGCTTGCATTTTAATAATAATAATAATAATAATAATAATAATAATAATCTACTCGACTTTTGCTAAGCAACATAAGTTATTTTTGATATTATCAGTATAAAACATGTTTCTTTCCAATTTTGAAAATTCTGATTCAGCAATGTTTTGGGATAGTCCCCTGAATCCGTGTTGTCTAATCCTTTTCAACTCTTCTAAGTAGCATGGAAAGTATTTACCCCAATATTTTCATGTTTTGTATGGAGTGTACAATCACATGTCTTTTGTTATACGGTGACATTACCGACTTATTGTCATTCAGTGACATTAGGCGGCATTTGAGAAAAGCGGAGTTTATGGAAGGTTCGTAAGGATGGTGCAGCAGGGGCCACCTTCGCTAGGTTGGTGCGGCGCATAGTGTACACCACACAGTTATCACCAGAGCCTGGAAGAGATACCGGCTACATGGTAAACCCGCCAGGAGACATGCTGGTCGGCAAAGGGCCACAACACCAGCACAGGATCGATTTTGGTCGTTAAGGCACATCACGCCACAGCATTTTCTCTTCGAAATGACCTTGCTGATACTGCGGGGGTCAGTGTTTCCCAAAAGACGTTGAAGGCTGCATGTTGCGGTCGAAATGACACTGCGTACGTATCTCTATGACGTGTCGACATCGCCAGGCGGCCCGTTTAATATGGACCATGGAGCATACACAGTGGACCATGCAACACTGGAGACCCGTTTTCTTCACTGATGAGTCCAGGTTTTGCCTTGAATTCACAGATAGGCGTGCTAGAGTCTGAAGAAAACGAGGTGAACGGCTTCAGGCTGCAAATTTTGCCAAGCATGACCGCTGCGGAGGCGGGCAGTTATGGTGAGAGGAGGCATCAGCTTGGGTGGACGAACCGACCTGGTTGTGATAAATAGAGGCACATTGACAGGTCAGCAATACAAAGACGACATCTAAAACAACCAGGTTAGGTTGTATGCTGGAGCGGTCGGCGATCAGTTCAGTCTAATGGACGATAAGGCTCGCCCCCATAGGGCCAGTGTGCTCCAAGACTACCTAGAGTTTGAGTCTATTGAGCGCATGAACTGGCCAGTTATCTAGCCGTGAGAACGAATAGAAACTTAATAAGGTATATGAGAAGGCGCTGCCAAGCTGTCATTGATAGTCACGGGTCACACACACGGTATTAAGTCTATAACTGTAAACAAAACAAAAAAGAGAGAAAAAAACAAATTTGAAAAACATATTGCATGTTATGAAATCTTCAAAAAGGGGACCATCCTCTTCTAGTGTAAAACTCATATACATGTATATGTTTTAATTCGTCCTGAATTAATAAAACAGTTTAAAAACATTCGCACGGCGTTAATAAAATTTATCCCAAAAATATTAACACTCAAACATAATGTGCTTAGCAAAAGTTGAGTAGTATAATACCGGTATATTTATTATAATACAAACACTGTTTAACGAAAACACCGACACCTCTTGAACTATGAAGTAGGCACATACATTTACTCCATATTTCTCCCATATATTTATTTATTCATTTCGAAAAATAAAACAAAAACATATACAAAAAAATAAAGTATATTCAAAGACATTTAACATTTTTTGGAGTTAAAAAGAGAGAGAGAAAAAAGAAAAAAATTAAAAGTATATTAAAAACATTTAACATTATTTGGAGTAAAATAGAGAGAGAAAAAACAACAAAGAAAAAGTCAGAGAAATATACATACACAAACTTGCATTCAGACATTCAAAAGATACTTTTTTACCAACATACATACAAAACATACATACAACCACAAAAAACAGAAACAAAACAGGAACAAGCGAACTAATTTCAATTTAATTTTCTTACGTTTTATGAATTGATTATGCTTTCCCTTACTGTTGGTTTGTTGGTTAGAGCGTTAAACAAGTTACTCCATTTTTTGTGTGATTCAACTTTATTATTTAGAAAAACAATTTCCACTTCAATTTGTATTCTCAATCGCAAAAGTTTTTAAAAATATCGAAAGTTGGTACATGCTTTTGGTATTTCATTTTAAGGATAAAATATTTCATAAGTATGATGGTATAATTTACTAAAATACTGTTAATATTGTTTTTGGTATATTATTTAGAAGCATGTACTATTTTAAAAACTCTTTCAGACCAAAAAGCATTTTCAATACCATAGATTTTAGTAAAGTCATCAAATTTGTGGAGTTCATTTTTCTAACTTTCATATAGATGTTCTAATTTTTATAGAATACTTTAAATATGCTATGTTTTATAGTACACCAATTTGATATTCGAATTATTCCATATATGATTAAGGTTATCTGTCTTATTATTGTTCTCTTGTTTAATATATAACCATGATGAAAGCACAATGTTAATGAATGAATTATGAGGAAATAGCTTATTGATATCTGATTTCGGAAGATACAGTCAAATATAAGGTCTTTTCATACTGTTTTATCTTTTGATTTATAACAAAGTTTCAATAATCCTTTATTGTCCTCATTTATATATCGGTTCACCAAATTTGCCCTGACTGCATTTAAAAAGGTATTAATGTCGATCATTTTAAACCACCATTTTAAACATTAAGTTTTACTGTTTTTCGTTTGATTTTTTTTTCTGGCTTGCTATCCCATAGAAACAGAAACATTGGTTTAATTATTTCTTTTATCTTATCATTTGATGGGTTTTTTAAATCTGAAAATGGATATAACAGTTTAGGTAAAACAAATATTTTTATTACCATCACTTTACCCATAAGGGTTAGTTTCTTTGTAATTGTTGTAATTGTTTCAAGCAATTAAAAAGTGTCTTTAGTTCTAAATTTATATCTGTATTTCTTTTGTAATAAGACGAGAAAAGAATACCTAGAGATTTTGCTGAATCAGATGTCAAATTGAACTTTTGATGTTTACATAGTTCCACATCACATGAAACTTGATAATATTTCTATACATAAAATAAATAATGAAGATAATAATGGACATCCCTGACGAACATCCGTTTCCATGTTAAAACACTCCGAAAAATGTCCATTTAGAGAATTATACTTGATATATCAGTTTAAAAGATTTCAACTAATTTTTTTCTAGATCTTTGCTAAAGTTAAATTTATCAAGTGTATCAAATATATATTAATGGCTTAGACTGTCTGATGCGTTTTCATAATCGGCAAAGAACAATAAACCCGGTTTATTTCCTTTCTGCAGATGTTTAAACACAGCCTTACATTTTTACCAATATATCTATTTCTTTTCATAAAACCAGTTTGATAAAATCTTATTATAGACGGCAGAACTTTTAAATTCTATTTGAAATTGTTTTTGTTGTAAGTTTATAATCAACGTTGAGCAATTTTATTTGTCTCCAATTTTATATATTTCTATATAGGAATGAGAGATTTGCCATGCCTTTAAAGTGCTGTAAATTTTGTAGTTTCAAAAGAATAATTAATCGAAGCAAGATAAAATTCCTTAACATTAAACCATAAGATCAAAGACTTTTATTATTTTTCATTTCTGATAAAGCTATTTTACTTTCATATTCATTAATTTTCCCTCCACATATGATCTTTTCTTCTTCCCTCAATAATTTTATAACTGTATTAAAGTATTTAAAGAAGAAGAAAAAAGGAATTTTGAAAAGTTCTATTTCTGTACAAACATAGAATGATTTTTCTTCTTTTAATTTAGCTTTTATTTCTGTTCTTTCTTTATTTTAATTTATGTACAACCTTTTTCTTTGCTTGTCTTTTTTCTAAGTTTGCAAAATATTTGCTATTTTCGTTATGAAGAAAAGCTCTTGCTCTTAAAATCGAGCGTTTTACACGATATTCATAAATTTCATCAAGTTATTTTTTGAATAAAATTTCATAACTTATTTTCGTCTTCACTTTCTATATTGGATTCAATTGTAAGTATTTTTTTATTCTAATTGTTTATTTCATTGATTAAATTTAACTCTTGTTCCTTTTCTTTCTTTTTCTAAAACTGTGCATAACGTATTGTTTCATATCTTACTGCAACCCTACAAAGTATTTGGATAAGTTGTTTTATTTATTTCTGCTGGTGAATGAATAATTTCTTTAAATTGACTTTGATAATCGTCGTCTTATGATAAAGCACTGTTCATTTTAAAGTATCTATGTCCTTTTTTTCATTGCATTATCATTTATTTTAAAGTAACTAGAGAATGATCTGTTCTAAAGCCATGTGGAATATTACTTTTTGAAATGATGTTTTTAAGCGAATCAGATATAAGGAATTAATCACGTCTACAGTAATTGACTTGTTTCCCGTTATAGTGCCATGTACATGTAAATTGCCTCTTTTCAGGGTGTTTTAAACGCCAAATATCAATAAGAGTTCCTGTTTCAATTATGTTTTTATGTTATCTCTACATTTTCTTCTTGTATGGAGATTCCCATTCTTTGTTTTTAAAGTTTTATTAATTACTGCATTGAAATCGCCACCGATTATAATGTTTATGTCGTCATTTTCAAGACTTAACTTTTCAAGTTTATCAAAAATATATATGTTATCATCATTTGGTCCATAAATGTTACTTCAATCATTATTAATATTCCTATTATCAATTCTTTTTTAATTAAAGATTTTGTATTACAATCATATTTAATAACAAAAACGAAAGGCCTTCTTTATTTGATTTATTTCCACTGAAAAAAACTGTGCCCTTCCACTCATTTTTCAATGGTTCAAATTGATTTTATGTGGGTTTCTTGTAACATATAAATAGAATATGGTTGTGAACTAAATAATTGTTTTGACTTTTTCTTAACCCTCACACATTTAAAGTAACTATTGTAGTTTTCTTGAAGAGTAAACTTACATCATATTTAAAAGTATAAAACCATAAAACACAAAAAACAAAACCAGCTCAATTATAACATGAACTATATATATATATATATAAACTGTTGCTTGTTCATCATTTACATGTAATATGATCCATATATGTAAACCTCAAACTTAAACGTAACATAATTATATATGCGATTTTATTAAACATAATATGTGTTCTTTGCATACTCTTATTTTTAACTTTCTATTGTATGATTTTTATTACTTTAATTTAATTAACTTCATAAGGCAATGCTTCCACAAATAAAACAAATACAAATACATTTAAATGTATTATTGTTATCTATTTTTTAATTATTCATAGTGTATATTATTAATCCAAAATTCATATTAAAGATTTATTCTTATCCCCTTTGTTATAAAACGCGTCTAGTAAGATTAATCATATAATACACACTACTTGATCACGTATTTAAACCAAACCAACTATAGATTGCTTAATGAAATTCAAACTTTAATCCAAAATGATCGCACGTATGCGCAGTGAGTGACGCCAAAGTGGCCCCTTTGCTGCTAATATGGATTGTTAAACTAATGGTATAATTTATCTATCTATGTAATCTATTTTTGATAAATAATATCTGAAAAGATTAAACCTTATGGTATCAAATATTTATCACCGATATTAAATACGATAAATACAATATAACCTTTTGAATATCTTCTAGTAATAAAAAAACAACTAAAAACAAACACAATCACTTGCTTATATGCCTTTTAATGATAATGAAAAGCCGAAAAGAATATAAAAGACAAACAACATGGATTGTTATGTACTAATGGTATAATTAATCTATCTATGTCACCTAATTTTCATAAAAAATATCTGAAAAGATTAAACATTATGATATCAAAGATTAATCATCAATATTAAATATGATAAAGTAACAAATGCTGCAACAAATTTGCAATTCATGATGTTTTTGGCAACCGACATATGTTTTGATGCGCGATTTTTATATCTCACTGGGACGGGTTGTGGTGTCCTGCTGTATGGATGCTGGTGTTGTTCACGATGCCGAATCCATTCATTCGTGTTAACCTGGAATTTACACCAATGTAGTAACTGTCGAAGAAGTGCTCTTTCGTTTATTTCGATGTTTCGTTTAGCATGATTTTTGCACGCTTTTAAATACATTGTACACATTTGTGGAACTTAATAGTCATTTTGCTGCGTAGGGCACGGATTTTGTTTTTATTTAGATAATGGAAGGTAATTTTCACAGGCGTTTGTTAATCGATACCTTAATCTCATATGTTTTATAGCCGCATGTACTCATGATTTATTGTGTTGTTTAGACGAAGTTTTCCTAATATAATTTATATATAAAATCGCACAAAAAATTAATGGTACACAAACATTGGATGTCGTCGGAAATAAACTTTGGCCTTTGGCGACTTTTGCTATGTTGCACTTTCAAAGCTTTAGTCTACATGTAAAGAATATTCGCTGACATTTCATGAAACTAGTTTATGACGAAAAACTTCAAAATATTGATATTTTTTCAAGGTACGGTGATGTTTAACTTCACCGTAAAAAGTGACATATTTGACGAAGATATATCTATCAACACACAAGATTCGACGACCTTTGGCGTCGTTAACATAAACCAAAACCGCGGAAACAACGTTTTCGCACAAGTCATATCAAAGACGGAGCTGGACCGAGATGGATACGGAATAGTAAGTTAAGAGAAAATAAATTAACTGTTGAACCTTGTCTCACTAAACGTATATCTTTTTAAATCATATTCTAGTAGGTTTTTGATATCTTGATGGAAATACATTTAATTATATTGTTATACTATGTATTGCACGGATTATCTTGTGTGTATTTGCGTTTATTTATACTCGCCACCGGTTGCCCATATGGGCGAGCCCTCCAGAAGAGTATTAGTCATTTTATTTTTCGGAGGATAGTGCAATTACAGATACAGAAAGATGCCCCAGTTCCAGAAGCTTCTCCTGGTTCTTTAGCGTGCCAAGTGTTAAGCACCCATACACGGGACCTCGATTTAAAGTCTCATCCGAAAGACTGATTAGTAATTTTAGTTGGCCAGCCCGGGAATCGAACCCACAATGTCGAGATTACAAGTCTCGCGCTCTAACCGATTGAGCTATGCGGGCTGGCTAAGGATTATCTTGTGCATTGACATTACTTTATATTGATAATATGTCGCAATATCATGTCATAGTGTCAGGAAGAAATAGCTACATGCATGTACAAAGCCTATTCATAAGGAAAAGTAATTCCTTCGATTTTATTACGATACTCGTGTAAGATATGCAAAAATATTTCGTCATACTTAGCATAATTATAATGCATATTACATGACTTACCCTTATTAATCATGTACATGCTTATTAATCTCTTACAGCCAGGAAAAACAACTTCTATCTTAAAGTTTGTGGTGATAGACCTGAGGGGGAACACGGTAATTAAACAATATCATGTTAAATCTATAAATACTTATTTCATTTTATATCGTTGTCTAAAATAAAACGAAATGTCTTTCTGAATTTATGTTAACATTGACCAGGATGGCCATCCCTCGTGAGTTGAAATGCGGTACAAATAAACCAACCGATGCAAACTCATTCTGTACTAGCTAGTTCTTTTATTTCAAAACAAATTTTCAAATAGATTCAAGCTGTGCGAAGAGCATACTTTATCTTTTTCCTCGGTACCATAGTTTCAATCACAAACAGGCGTGTTTTGTTCAAACATTCGAGCCGCGATTTGTTAAGCGATACTGAATTTCAACTATTGTGATTTGGTGTGAATCATACCCAATTTTTTCATTTTATTGCTTTTGGATCTTTTTTTGTGACTGCGGGGACAAATTTGCATAAATTAATTGGACCCCAAAATGCGTAACACACTCTGAAGTCGGACCCTAATGTACTTTGCACACGTAGGACTCTAAAGTGCGTGATACAGTCGTGCGCACGAAATAATTAACCAGTCAGATTCTAATTATTTCGTGCAAACGACTAAGTTTTATATGAATTTCTGAAACTAAGTGAATTATTTCAGGTTAAAGTTTTACATACAACATTAATCTTTGAATATATCGAAGATATTCACTTTAAGCTTGATACATGTCTTTAAGATCATGTTAGAAAGTCACGTTCCACTGCCCATAAATCAGACATTAATTTTGACTAAGTTAATATGAACAGACAAATTATTTATTTAACTTGCAAATGTATATGATACAGAAAAAAGTTTAGACATACAAAAATGATAATGAGCAATCACAAAAATTAACGCTCAGCATTCAACATTCTGTTTAGCCAGGGCTTCTTTAAAGTAGCATGCTTATCTTTTTGTACTATCAAGTTTTTTTGTCAAAACACTGACTGTTGTTACAGCGATTGAACAGTGATTATGATATGTAGGATTTATTAAAAATGGACTGCCCCACTTTTTTTATTAATTGCACATTACCGATTACCGAAGTATATTAATATATGTTAAGGGTTACGGGGTTATTGATTTTTATAACAACGTTAACTATGACAATGAAAAAAATATAACAAAATAATTATGAAGGTTATTTTGAATTTTACCTGTGTTCAATAATTTTAACAATTTTCAAATTGGCGGGGTACTTACGTGTTAGAAAATACACTTGTTTTGGGATTTATTACATGCCAGAAGAGGGTGATAAATAGCAGTTTTTGTATCCGGTCTGTATCTTTTGAGCCGGGGAAGGAAGTTGAAACTACTTGGCAGAAATTTTAATCATAATAAGACAATGTGCAGAGCAACTCGTTTAATTAATTTAATTAAAGTTTTACAACTGTGTACTCGTTCAATGCAATTCAGTATTGTAATCAAATATGTGTATAATATATCAAATGCAAGATATTGTATCTTAATGTAAAATAACTTTGTTTTATGCAACCTACTTTGAGGTTTTTAGGCAATGTTTTGAACTCTAAATTTCACAAAACCAATCCTTTAACATTTTTATTCTTCAAGAATAATATCTAACTGAAACACAATTTTGGTCACTGAAAATGAAAACGAGGCTACACAGAGTGCTATATTGTTTTGATATGAATGTTTTGGACTCGGAAATAAAAACAAGTCTAGATGAGGTACAATATTTATATGATTTGAATTTTCAACTCGTATTTTGAAAACGAGACTAGTTTGCTGAGATTGAGTCCAATAGATTATATTGAAAGATCACATAGTTAAAATTCTGTAGGTAAGTTAATTAGTTATAGTTCATAAGGTGTCAAATACTTACTGTCATGACAGTTCTCAATAATGCAGTTTATTTTTTAATACATATGAACATAATTTCAGTTCAAAACATTACATGCAAGTCTTGCATAAATTTTTGTACCTCCGAAATCTAATACGAGAAAGGGCCGATTTAAGCGAAAATATGACATAAATCATGATTGCTTCACACCAAATCACCATTTTCAGTTGAAATTTTGCTTCGCTTTAAACTATTATACGGAAAAGAGAGAATTGTGCTTTTTACCATGCTTCAATTCGTTTTGATTTTTTTGTATTTATTATATGATTTATAGACAGCTTTAAAATAACTTTCTCCGATAGGTTAAGATGTAATGTTTTGTAAAAAAATAAACAGTGAATATAATCATTGTTTTTTCTTCTAAAATAGATTTTCTTAGTACATTCACCTTTTTTGCTAAAAGAAAGAGATTTTCTGGAAAGCCCACAAAAGATGCATGCTTTGAAATTCTGTTGATCTTTTTTTGAGAAAACGTTGGGCAACTCGCAAATAAAAGTCAAATTAGTCTATTTTAGTTACCGTTTTCACATTTTAAAAAAAACTTGGAATTTAACGTGCCAATGCGCTCATTCAAATGTCGGATCCAAATAACTGAAAAAGAAGACAAGCTGAAAAATGTCATATTCAGTTGTAGATTTGATATCCCACATAAAAGCGATTTATAGATTATAAGATAAAACATATGTTCTCGCCAAGGTCAATATTATTTTTTTTCAGTACATATCACATCATATTCACTAGCTAAAAAGTCCACATCTGTATAATGTATCCCGCCATGTCATCTTGAATGAATGTAGTTGCGCTATCTAACCTTTGCTTAATGTTTATGTTTTGATTACGATCAACAGTACAAGTAACAAATACATATATTGCAAACATCTTTAAAAGAAGTTTTGTATTTATTGATAAACACATTTGCTATTGTTTCACAAAATAATGTAATTCACAATCCTTACAATTGTAGCTCAACTTATTAACAACACTGAAGTTAATCGATGTTAACGACAATACACCGCAACTAGAAAATACACCGTATCAATGGTCAATTAGTGAGGTAAATTAATTTCTATTATTATTTTTTTTTTCATTTTTGCTCTTTCTTAAATCAAAATATATAAAAAATAGTACTTTGATCAAATTGATTATAAAATAGCTATTAAATTTAAAGTGTGTGATATAGTGACAACGTAAACGTAAGTAAAGTAATAAATGGTGACGGATTTAGAACACTTTTTGCTAGCGACAGCACAACAAAGGGCCAAACGTCGCGTTGTCGCACTGTCGTCTTGTCGTCGTGTCATATAAATGAGTAATGCAAGTATTTTGCTTATTTAATTACAATGTACAACACTCGTGATCTCATGTCAGTCTTTACAGCAAAATAACTATCATTTCATAATCAGATTTACACTTTAATTGCTTGTGGGATCTCAGGTCTTAACAATTTTGACAATTCATTTTCACTTTCATATTACTTAGTATATTAAATATGCTGTTATACTAATGAAATTCTTTGCAACAACTCGCGTTCTTATCAATCAAAATTCTGTTTAAACAGAAAACTTATAACTCTTCTGTTATCATTCATCTGAACGCAATATCACATTAGAAATCCTTATGGTGGAGATATTTTGAACATCAAAACAATATTTAAAGAACAGGTATAAAATTTAACAAATTAGACTGCATCCGGATCGAGCTGATAAATGTACTTTGTAACGACCGACATATTGTTTTTAGTGTCTTCTATCGCCCGTCAGCAATTTAATTGAAGATTCTTTTTGTCTTGCAATTGACAAAAATATACCCGGCATCATAATTACGGGATGGTGGGGTCGCGTTTGTGGTGGGGGTGGACTTCACCCTGAATGTAAAATGTTATGCTTTAAGCCGTAAAATAACAAAATTACATCACTCACACTTCTGGATTTAGAAAACCAAGTAAGAAATGCACTAGATCTTGTTATTTTGGTTATTTTTCATCAACAAATTTCATGTGAATGTAGCTATGCGTAGCGTAGCGGTTCTCAACAATAGTGCCCTGCCAATTCAATTATACCGTTAATATGGTACTATGTTACTACGATGTTATTTGATGCAATGGTACCCAATATAAACTCTTCAACTTGATAATAAACAAAATGAATGCGTACGCATTGCAAGCGGTGCGACCCCTGGTCGCACTAGAAAATCCTCAGAAGGAAATTAAGTTCGAGTCGTTATCCGAAGGAATGTTTTACAATATGCAGTCAATATGCAGTCAAACAAAACACCTGAAAATCTCTCTTCATTCATACCAAATCCAGGTCAATTACGAAACGCTGAATACATAATAGAAATTGCATCAAGGACTACTCTGTACCACAATTTTTTCTTGCCATCAATTATTCGTGATTGGAAATGTTTGCCAGTAATTATACGGAACAGACATATACTTTCTCCATTCAAAACATTTTTAAACAGTGACAGGAAACAGACGCAAAAATACTTTTAAATAGGTAGTCGTAAACTGCAGGTCCTTCACGTACGACTTATAACGGACTGCAGAGCTTTAAATCACCACCTCGTTATAAAAAAACATTTCTGTTACCCGTCTGTGGGCAAAATGAAACTACCTACCATTTCATTTTTTAGTGTTGTGCATATGATGCCGCCCTAGAACAATCGTACTAAACCTGCAATTCTTCAAAACAAACCTTCATATACTTGTCTATAGTATGCCCCTCTCTAAAATATACAAAAACTGATGGGTTTAGAAAAGCTACGGATATTTTTTTATATTCGATTTAGATATATAAAAAATTACGTAAAGTATAACATAAAGTCTACTTTAAATGTAAACATAGGAAAAGCTCAAAGCATATTTAAAAAATACGAGTCCTAAATTTTATATAAAAGGGGCCCATTTTTGTTTTGGGAAAAGGAAAACCCCAATATATGATGATTGCATATTTCAAAAGATATATATTTTATTGATTGTTTAAACCGAAAATAAACAAAATTGATGTCGCCCACATATTTTTCGTTTTGTGCGGTCCCTTTTTTCCCTGGATAGCCAGGACAATCCCCGTAATAACCGGGGGTGATCGGGGGATCCGGGTGAAATTATGTTGTGTACACTTACCCCGTAGACTACGGTATTCCCCAAAAAAACCCCCCAGGATGCGCCCGGATCACCCCGGAGAGCCCCGGGGGGAACACGGTTCATGTCGGGGTTCCCTGGTGTTCCCCGGGGTGACGCCGGGAAAAGCCCCGGGTTACCCCGGGCGATCCAGGCGAGCCCCCGGAGAGCCAGGACGATCCAAAAAGCCCCGTATTCTTGATATTTCTGAAAAATTCCCTTTTGTCAGATGGATAGAAGGGAAATGGGAAGGGGTTTTAATACAAAAAAGTGCAATCTCGCAAATTGCATTTTTCTTTTGAAATTTAGCCCCGGGGGTTTTCAGGGGGTTTTTTCGGGGGTCAACCCCTAGCTTACCCTTTATCCCCCGCGCCCGCCCCAAGTTACCGGGTCTGCTGGATTACCGGGGGTCTACCCTACTTACGGTATATCATACCCCCGGTATCCCCCTTTGTGGCAAGCTACGGTGCTTCCCCGGTATAACCCCGATCGTTCCCGGCAGAGCTAAGGATAAAGCCGGCAAAGCCATACCTTCCCGGATCATCCCGGACCACCCCGGTGATATGATGAAACTGCGATGGCATGATGATGAAAACGCGATATTTTTATTTCTCTATCGTGTCATCGCATCTTCGTGATTTCACCATCGTGTCATCATGTTTTAATCATCGTACCATCTCAATTTCAACTTGGTACCATTGCGCATAGCTGTTCAGGGAGTCAAAAATGTTACTTTTGTCCAAACGGAACACCGGAATCGGTTGATATTGAATGATGATCGTGACTCGTTTCGCATCTCGCCAAAATCTCGCGTCTCGCTTCGCATCTTGTTTGTCGACGCGTAACAAGAAATTGATTTCCTTTATAGTCTACATAAAATCACTTAAAGGCCCAATATGCCCGAGAAATGCTTTTATTTGTATTCCTTAAAAGCTTTGTATTTTTGGTATACTTTTATAGCTCCAAAAAGTTACTCATTGACTATTACCTAAAGCATTTTTCATCTGCTGTTTTTTTGCAGTTTGTACAATTGAAGTGATTTAGAATTTTGTATTGAAGTCAAAATACTACATTTTTATGACGCATTATTTCACATTTATCGCGAATTTCTTAAGATTACAAGCATCTAACTTCATCAGAAATCATTATTTGAATATTAATAAATTAATACTTGCTCTATTTAAAGAAGTAAAAATGTATTCATTTCTGAAATATCGTGGTACGGGATACTTCAACATTGCGAGATCTCGTGTTACAATATCGTGCCTCGCTTCGTGTCACATCGGAATGTCGCGTCTCACACGATTCTGAGTGGTACGATATTCAATAATTACGGCATTACCCGGATTATTTTAGGAACTCATACATGTTGTAATTGCTTTTTCAATGGCGGATCTGAAAGCCGCAATTCTTGGAAAATGACGATTTTTACATACACATATTTCCGATGATAACAAAATACGTGTGTAATGGTCTTTTTATTTTCTTCAATAGATCATTTAAGGACCTCCGTGGCCGATTGATTAAAAAAAAAACACTTGTCCCTAACCGCTGTAGGTTCAACATATATACGGGGCATCAAACTATTCATCGAACTTTGCGAGGATCCCGGTCAGTGTGCAAATGCAGAATACATATCCGCATGCGCACGTTACAGTATAGCTATCGCGTGCGCACGTAATAGTATCGCGTGGCCACGTAAAAGCTATCGTGTGCGCACGTAATAAATAAGAAAATTGTATGTCCCCTTTATGCCACCGTAGATACTACCTTGTTTTTGCTAAGAATATTTCAAGTGCCATAAATCATTTATAAAACTTTAAGCATTGAAAATAAACGTATCACAATTGATAACGATAACAATTGATTTGCTGCATATGTGTTTAGGTTCTGGATGCTGCACTAGAAATTTTCATTGTGATATGCAGAACAGGGATATTCTTTCATTGAATATATGAATCCTATGCAGAGGCAGGACGTTTTTGACTGACTGGAAGTGACCTAAAACGGTTTTATAAATACAGAAACACTGAACAATGGCTGGTTGCCGGTAAACGGATGGGCATAATTATTACCTTTTAAGAAGTTTATGGAAAAATGTGAGACAAATGTGCTTCTAGTGTCCTTTCTATTGTATGTCGAACACATCTGTCTCATTTCCAATTTGTCGCAAATATGAATGTTCACGAACACATCGGTCTTCCTTCGTGAGACACATGTGCTCCTACATAGCACACCTCTAACAAAGAGGCTAGAATCACTGTCAAGTGTCTTTTTAACATTTTTTTATGAATCACTCAGATCCCTAATTGAAGAAAAATTGTTTCATTTTATTATATAATTATTGTAGGTATTTATTTGCTAAATAATGCCAAATATAATAGCAAATATGGTACAAGAAAGTTTAATAAAATAAAAACTACACGGTAAAAGTATTTTATATTTTGCAAGACAAACCAATATACATTTAAGAAAATTTAGGTAAACTTTGAAAACAGCTCCTCGTTGTGGAAATTTTTAAGAATATTTTAAATAAAGCTTTTCTAAACGAAATCTGCTGTAATCATAGTATTATTTTTACAATAGCTTTAGCTCTTACATTTGGTTCGCTGAATTGCTAATCATGGTCATGCAACTACATAATTAGGTTAAGAAGCAGACGCTTGTTTTGGTTGAGTCTATTATGTTTTGCTGAGGGGGTGAGTTGTCATACACAGATTTACAATTTATATGCATTTATCTTTTTCTAATGATTGTTATTATCTTAAATACTTCTGGGATTGTTGTTTTATCAAGTTATTTGTAAATAAAATTTTTATATGTCTATTAACGGCATAATTTCCATGAACACACCTACATGTGTATTGATAACGTGATGGTTTAAGCCAATGAAAAAAACATCAATATTATTCGAGTCAGGCAAAGAAAAGTTTGCAGAGTAAATCGATAATATTTATGTAGCAAACAAACTATTTTTTCATATCTTTTCGGCAGGATAAACTGTCCGAGGAGGTTCAGGCATTTTCGTATCGTAAAATGGCTGCCGTGATTATCCCAAGCACCACCGCGACTTAGCGCGGGAATTATAAATACCCTCGGCGCGTCGCATAGGATGCACATTACCTTTTATATTATTGTAATAAATATTTACAAACTGTGTCCTTCGGTTTGTTTTGATCAATCGATAACCAATAATGAGGTTAATATGAATAAATAATCATATCTCAAATCTGCGTTTCTGATTTAAAATGAAATTCCACCGTTAGTTTACCTTTAATGTATTAAAAAGGTTTTCAATTTCCTGTAATTTTATTTTGTGATCAGTCTTAAAAGCAGTCAATTGACCATGAATTTTCTTTTTATATTTTGATTTCCTTGAAATTATTTTTCTCATCTGAAGGCATGCAACTTTAATATGATGATACATTAATTGCATTCCATCAAAGTTTAAAGATATAAAATATCTCATGACATGTTTGTTCATTTTACATACACCTTTCATGTCGCAAACATAAAAAAGTCTTTACAGAAAGTAGTATGCAATCGAACCTATATTACATGCAAATGTATGTAATATTTTTCTTGTTACATTAGAAATGGTCAAATATAACTAAACAAACATAACTTAACATAATGAATTGAGTAGAAATCGTAAAGCTTATATGTAACTCTCTCATGACAACGTGTTTAAACATGATTTAATTTTAGTCTGGTTCCACGGTACTGAGTCTCGTTAAACTATCCGCATTACATGAAATCAACAGTTGTACATTCCATTATTTGTATAACGTTGCCTGTTATTTGAAGAAAATGTAAATAGAAATGTTTTGCTACAATTCAAGAAATTTAAATTGATTTGAAGCCGAAAAACTATGGCCGTGATTTGAATTTCCATTAGATTGAGACGTACCATTTCTTAGAACATATTCGTTTTTAATATGGATTGATGTTTAAATAAAATAAGTATGAGGGGACATTATTTCTTTCATGATGAAACAAACAGTCCATTCCAACATGCAATTATAGCTCAGAAGTAGCGATAGAGTGATTTAACGTAAACACCAAACATAAATATATTTCATTTCAAAACGGTTCTAAAATGCGATGAATGGGAAAAGAAAACAATGTTAAGCCATTAATTGGTGGCGTAAATTTGAATATCAGTGGTTCCGGAACGATGGAAACATTGCGCATACATGTTATACTTTGAAAGTTGCGTTGTTGTACAATAACAAATTGTCGAATTATCAAGCTTGTACGGCTTTAAAATGATAAAAATACAGGAATATGTTTACTTTAAAGTATTCTAAGAATGGAAATGAGACGTTTAGAAGAATAAAAGCGACTGACTTGGATGAGGGGATCAACGGAAACGACGGAATCGTTTTTAAAATGGAGGTAATTTGTGTTAACAGATTATTCTTTAATTTTAATAATAGCTTAACATAATATCCCTTTTCTGATTTATAAGAAGTAACAAGACAGAGAGGATAAGTATACGATTACGCACAATCAAAGGTTGATCAAAATTTATAGTAGAAAGTAAACCATAAAATTCACAATGGTACTGCTTTTCTAATTTTATAATTTATCATTTAGTTCATACACACTTATTTTAGTTCGGTTGTGTCGGAAGCTATAAACTTGCTATAACACTGTTCCTCGAACCAACCATTACTAAGTAATGAATGTAAAGTTTCTTTCTCGAGGCAACAACGGCCTGCCCCTGACAGGGTTTAAACCCCCGCGATCAGCAAACTTTAAATTACTAGTCTGACGCGTTAACCACTCGACCGCACCGTCACATTTAGTTATTTTATAATATTTTTGTTAATTTTGCTGTGTTTCTGTTTACTTTCAGCCAATAGTCGAGGTAAGTTGTATTTTTCAATTATGTTAATAATTGTATTTCAATAAAGACACATTTTATTCACCTTTACAATGTAGTCTTATATTAGAACTACACACATACCTGCACACGCCGTAGAGTCAGAGATATTAAAAACTAAACTGTAAGATAACCACACATTCATGTGTTAACCCAATTCACGGTCTTTTAATAAAAATTCTGTAATTGTCTTTGAAAATAGAAATTCAGTAAATTTTGCATCATGACAGGGAATAAAGTACATTTGTATGACGAATATAAAGGTCTGTAACAGAAAGATGCAAATGCATAAGAAATGATCAATTCTTCACAATTTTGGGAGACCAGATTAAAAAAGTTAAACAGTGACCCCAGTCTTGTTTTTTCATCAATCATGATTTTATTGAAATTTTCGTCTTTAATTATTCACAGTTTAAGACATTTACTACAATGGTTAATTTTGTCTATGTAAAAATGCAGCTCCGAGAAACATCTTTTGTCGTGTTACTTGCAATTTTCTGAGGGCACAATATAAAATATTTCATCACAACCAGTTATGACATCTTGCGTACATATTACTCAATAGTTCCAGGTATCTTATCAATGTAAAAGTTAAATATATTAAAATATAGATGACTTCACAGTGAAATTAATAGGTGCCTTAACTAACACAGTTTAGAAATACAATAAAAAATAACAATTTCATGAATAATACACATACAACCATGTAAAACTAAATGTTCTTATTCTTTCAATTTAGCCAGAATCACTCGTCCTGGAATACTTATCAACGTTCAGTATAGATTCTTCAACTGGTGTGATAAGACAAAAGCGTGCATTAGACTACGAAGAACATAGTGTGTACCATTTCAATATAAGCGCTACGGTAAATATTATTTTTGCTATATCTTCATAATTCCAAAATGGAAAGAGTATACTAGTACTCGCCACCATGTCCGTTCTTCTGACCGTCTGTCCGAAACATGTTTTTTTTTCAATTTAAAAATTAAACAAGGCCTTGCTTATATTTCAAAACCGTTAGGTGTTAGATGAGAATTAAATAAAAATATTAATTTCGGAAGCCACGCTTTGTTTGGTGGTTCTGTAATTTCAAGTATAGTTCGGGTAAAACGTTTTCCCACGCACATTAGCTAATACGGCTATTGTTTATTGACTGATGTGTTAATATTTTGTAGGTAGGTATCACGAGTGGCCCTTTAACTTTTGTTGACGTACTACCGTTAAGGTCACAAGTGCTGAAAATAGATTTTTTTTAATTTTTTAAACTATCTGATAGCGATTATTGCTATTTATATTTGATTGTAGACCTATTAGGCATTCCCCTAACTTTACTTGGGTCGAGTAAAGAGTCACTGAAATCTAGGTTGGTTGTGCTAATTAGTTTTTTACACTTTTCCTATGTATCCTTTATCCATGCACTGATGTTCTCCTTATTTAGTAGATAAATATCTTTATTCAGCCATTAACTTTTTTGGAGTTATGTGTAGTAGTATTTTGTTTTAAGGTCAAGGTAACAAAAATAAATATTTTTTTTTACACTTTTGCTCATGCAGCTTTTATTTTAGATACTTGCTACATCCTTGGCCGTTTCTTTAACTTAATTGGAGGTAGGGCCACCTGGTCCCTTATGCTAAAAGTACATTGTTACTTTGACTCTTGCTGCCCTTATTTATTGACTGATGTGTATTTAATTAATGAGCAGATTCATGAATCATTCATCGCCTTTAACGATATGTGTTGCTGATTATTTCTTATGCATCACTGTTGTTCGCAGATCAACATAGTTTGTTCTGTGATGATTTTGAAAAGTCTCTCGTTGATTTAAAGAGACTCCACTGAGATGGGACTTGTAATAATTGGATGGTTCATTTTCCCAATAACTTGAGTACAAAATTTCAGATCATTTGCTCACTCCATCTTTTATAGAATAATTATTCTAATTGATGAAAATGAACCAAATGCTATTGACTTAAATGGGACTGAAAAAAGCACAAAAATACGATTTTCAATTTATTTCCGAGTATGTTATTATACCCGCACAAAACAAAGTTTTAGGAGGGGTTGGTGTATAGGAATGTTCCGTTCCGTCCCTTTCGATCTCTAGATCCCAGGAAACACAGATTAAGAATTGAAACTTGGCACATCAAAGCAATACCACAATGCCATTAACTATATCACGTTTCAAGAGAATGTTGCCCTTTTTATCAAATATGTATTGCTTAGGTGGCTATTTCTTTATTGTTGATTAATGTATTGTCTTTATTCTTGGACACATCAATTCACAGAGATGTTCCTTAAAGTTGATCAGATTAACCTTGACCTTGAGTAATAAATGACCTTGAAATTTATTGTCAAAATATTGAATTTACTTTAGGTTTGGCTTGAACTGATTAGACATTTGCTATTTATGAATGGATTATCTTAATAATTATTTAAACACAGCATACTTTAGGACAATACCTTTATGAAGATCAAACCAACTTTGACATTGACAGAAATGGACGATGTGCAGAGCGCAGGATTGACCTCTCCCTCCCAGGTCAAGGTCACACTTATTGGTTTTGAATGAAAATAAAACATTTTGGCAAAAATATTACTTATGATGAGACGGTGTGCAGATTATAGGTTCGGGCTTCCTGAGATTAAAGTTGGCCCCACATCGGGGAGAACTTGACTTATATTTGACTTGTATAGGAAATCACATTTTAGTTTCATTTTTACCATATCCAAAGCTAAGATATTTAGCATGTAACATTGACTTTTTAAATCATGTACCTTGGTTCAATATTAACCCGCCCCAGGGGTCACTTGATTTATGTCGTCCAGTATAAGAAAGCAGATCTGAGACCTTTTGTTTGAAACTATGATGTCCAGAGATATTGGACATGTAAAATCACTTTGTGGACCACAAAATAACTGGTATTAATTGTGTTCCTTGGGTCAATATGGCCTTCGGAGTTTACTAAATTAATATCATTTTGTGTAGGAGACTATTTTTAAGTCTTACTTTGGTGAAAATTCAATGCCTAGAGTTAAGATATTTGACAAGTAGCGTTGCCTTGTTTGCCTCTACAAAAAGGTATTAATCATGTCCCTTGGGTAAATAGTTGTCCCTCCTTGGGGCCATTTACTTTATATAGTCTTGTACGAAAAACACATTTCATTCTGTTGTTTGTGAAACTGCATAGCCCAGAGCTTAGATATTTTGCATATCAATTTGTAGATTTCAATAAAAGTTATATTCATCATGTTCCTCAGGTCAAAATTGGCTTTTGCCCCGGGAGTCACTTGCTTTAACTAGAGTAAGGAATAGGAAAACACATCTCTCTAATTTATAAACATACACTTATATCAATATAATTGTCATTGATTAAAGGATCAAAAAGGCAACGGAAGAACGAGCGAAAGTACTATATTAACAATTACAGTAATAGACGTTCAAGATACACCCCCAGTCTTCACAAGTGGGTCATACAAAGCTTTAGTACGTAATGATGCTGAAATAGTAAGTGTCCTATTTTGCTGAAAATCTATACTAGAAGTATATAAAAATATTGAAACAAAGACTCGACAAACTAAATCGCGGTTTCTTAATGACTCAAACGATAGACGATAAAGATATTTGAAAAGTTTTTCACCAAATTAACTTGGAAATATTAATACTATTAAAAATTTTGTAGGAATCATATTTTATCTTAAAGATATACTTCTCTTGCCGTATTAATTAATGAATTATCTACTTTTTCTGATATTTTTTCAAAGCATTTTGTTAGTTTTGTTGAAAATACATAAGTGAAAATATGTATTACCATTATGAAAGAAATCCTAACATGTTACTTGACGTTGGCTCGTTCACAATCAATGAAAGAAACACTGCTTTATTTTTGTTTTGTTTTGCAGGGTACCCATGTCATCACTGTTCATGCGCTAGACGGGGATACGGGATATAGACCGATGAACGCAATTGGTTATTATATCTCCCCAGGTTGCATTTTTAACTTTTACTAAAATGACTTATTAAAGTTAACTTTTCATATCTAAGATCCCTCACAATATTACACTTTTATTTTTTATAAACAAACTAGGAGAAAATACAGGATTTAGAATATGCGTGTTTTTATAGCATAAATAGAATGTTAGTAATGAAAACGATTACAAAAAGAAACGAAAATGTTTGACATACTATAATTATGCAATATTCAGTTAATTATTACAGTGAACATTGCTAGTCTGAAACTTTCTAATCAAGAATCTATTCTGATCCGAATCTGCTTTCATCTCATCAACGATTTTTTTCACATGTAAAGTACTGATAATTACATTGCCTTTTAATTGGTGTGCATGTTTTATCTTGTTTGAGTACAGTATACAAATAATATCCAAATAAAAATACTGTATATTCATTAACATCACAAATTGAATCTACTTTGAAAAAGGTGGGTGCTCCGAAGTGTTCACAATAAATGACCAAGGAGGAATAAACACTAGGCTACATATCGACCAAAACACAGACGCTTTTGAATCAGCATGTGAACTTGATGTTGTAGTAAGTCGAATATAATGCGTATTAAGAGATTACTAGAGACTAATATTTTTGTGATAAATGAGTGTGTAAAAATCTTAGTTTGCATGAGCTGTTTGTAAACATTTGTGCATCTAAACGAGGAAGAAAACTGTGTACTATTAGAAATTTTCAAGATGATTTCAATTTCAGTATGATCATAAACATGACGACCTTAATTCAACTGATAATAAAAGTAAATGAAAACAGAAAGGTGTAGCTACAACACTTATTTTACCTTCAGCATTTATTAAAAAGTAGCTTAACGTTATTACAATATACGAATATAACAAACTTTTAATAATCCCCCGCCGAAAAGGCGGCGGGGGATATAGAAATAGTCTCCGTCCGTTCGTCCTTTCATCCGTCCGTTCATCCGTCCCACATTTTGTTTGGAGCACATCTTAAAAAGTATTTGAGATATCAACTTGAAACTTCTTAGGTGTATAGATGATACTGAGGAGGAGTGCAACACTTAAGAACGATAACGCTACCATGCAGATTTTTTTGTTATAGCCCTTTGTTATTTTTCATACTTAATTTTTGTCCAGAGGATAACTCAAGAAGCATGTGAGATATCAACATGAAATATCATGAGATATCAACATGAAACTTCATAGGTGGAGGAGATGTGCAGTAAACAAGAATGATAATTCTACCCCTCATAATTTATGATAATTTATTGTCCTTTGTTAATTTCAAGGAAAATTTTTCCTGAGTTGAGCATAACTCAAAAACTCTTTGACTTTGTCAATATGAACATTCATAGGTGGACATATCTTATAAAGGAGGAATGATGTGAATAAAAATGATAACTCTACCCGTTATAATTTTTGAGTTATTGTCCTTTTTATTTTTCATACTTTTGTCCGAAGCTTATACAAAAAAGTATTGCAGGTATTAACTTAAAACTTCATAGGTGGATAGATCTCATTAAGGAGGAGTGCAGGGCACAAGAAGGATAACACCACCGTGCAAAAAGTTTTCAGTTATTGCCCTTTAATATTTTTCATGCTTATTTTTGTCCAGACAGTAAATCATTAAGTATTTACTTTATAAGGTATTCACTTGAAACTCAAAATATAACTAGGTGGCTACATGTACTATGAGAGGTGGAGTGAGCAATAACTGAACAAGAGATTGACTTGATACATAGAGTAATGTAAAGTGAATAATAACTGTAATCTCTTTTTTTCATATTTTTTTCTGGGTAACCCTTTGTTTGATTTCATATATATTTAAAGAATAAGACAACTAATGCCATGTCACGTAAGCATGAATGTTGGTCTATGTGTATACTTTGATTTTGCACAACTAACCCCTAAATCATAAATTTCCTTGCAGAACTAAACTCAAAACTTGCTAAAAGCTTCCGCATGTATTTAAAGAAAATAAAATTTTTACGAAGGTTTATACTTGCATATTACTTAGAGCGCAAAAACGTAAACATTAGACCAGACAAACTCTATATAATAGGAGCTCAAAATAACCTTAACAGTTGTCCTTGAGATTAAAAAAAATAGAGAATTTGTATTCAGATAGGTTTCGAATATGTAATCACTGCAGCCATCAGTAATTACATTGGTTTCAAATCTGTATGCACTTCAGCCATCAGTTTTCATTACCAAAAGACCTCTTAAGGACGATTTTGGGATTTTTCATATAGAAATATAGGCATAATTAAAACTGTTCAATAAGTCAATATGAAAAAAATCCGAAAACGTCCTTAAAATTGAATTAATCTTCTCTACTACATAAACATTCTTCCAATGAGCAAACATATTCGGCAGGGGATGTCCATGTTTACTTGGCTCTTGTTGCTTTTATTGGCGACGCCGGGGAGCGGCGTCGTCTATTATGGAATGCTTTTTATTTTTGCCTATGGAAGGAGCTGTTATTATTAGCAGTTAATTTCATGTTGTGTTAATTAGTTTTATTTTGATTCGTAAAAATCAAGTAAACAAATGTGTTGTTAGATTTGTATTTAATAACTTTATGTAAAAAGCATGTGCATTGCGATATTATTTTCACGAAATTGCAGGTTAAGTTTAACAGCTTGTCCCTTAGTTTTAATGACAATACTAAAACCCGGATTTCGAATATCGTTGTGGTCTAGATTGAGGCCGTATCAGTTCATTCATTCATTTATACATTTTCAAAATTTTCCTACAAGAAGAAAGTTCACCTGCAATTGAGTATAAGGATAGGTAATGGAACTGTTGTGTAAACGATTATCCTATTGATTTTATCCTTATTACATTTATCTGTTGCGCAGAATGGTTGTTTTTACAAAGTGTACCAGTATCGGATGTTGAAAGCTATCCGATTTTCTGCAATTACTGCTGACACATGGCCATCTATTTTTTATGAATACTTTACCATTAATTTGCATGGCTTGATAAAACTGAACCTGCAGCATTTCATAATTTTGCTGTTTAGGGTGTTCTTTTGGGTTTCAGGTTTTCTTTATTTTAAGGGGAAGTAACTCATGTTTACTAAATTATTTGTCCTTTTCTGTCTATCTTAGGTATTACTTATAATACTATTTTTGTTGTATATAATTCACCAGTTGTAAGGTCATCAAAAGCATGTTAATGTTAATGTTAGGATTTTATATTTATTTAATATAAACTGGGAGTGCATACATGTATATCTTAGACAGTAGTATATTGATATGTTGAGACTTATAATTTTTCTGCATTTAAAGAGATACAGTTATGTCATTATTATTAAAGGGATGAGACTTTCATTTAAAGTTATAAATGATAAAACATGTATTGATTGAAAATGTCCTTAAACTTGGATCAAGCAATATAATTAATAAAGTCTCAAAAAATCATATTCTGAATAGTTATTCTATTTTTTTTCTAACATGTGCATAGTTTGAAAAGGACAGCTTCTGTCTTATCTATTTGTAATGAAGGGACACCTGTCTCAACCTCCAGGTCTCCTGAGTCAACCCGACAACAGACTGTACATAGAGTAGATTGTTACTTGCCCGTGAATAAATTTGTGCACTAAATTTATAGTGGGTGATTTGTGCAACAATGAAAACCAACATAGTACAAAAAGGTAACTGGGCGCCAGATGAAAACAATGAAAATACAATCTACACAAAGTGTTTGTTTGTTGCATTTTCATGTTTTTGCCCGGTGCCCTTGATGCAAAATCACAAATCAGCCTTCATAAAATTTCTTAATGTTGGTCACAGGTTTGAGTTCTGGTCAAGCTCAAAGTTGTTCTTCATCCTGTGACTGCATATAAGCATGAGTTCAATTTCCTATGCTCTGTAACATAAGAAATTCACGAACACAAATCGATATAGTTGGGAAATATGTTGTGGTTTAGAACTGTTTCATTATTAAAGAGAAAATGTGTAGCAGGCCGGATAGCTCAGTTGGTCTTCTGAAAGTCATGGGTTCGAGTCATGGTCAGGCAGTTTCAGTCAGGGTTTAGAAGTGGTTTTTCAATTGACACATGTTTGATTCATTTAACAGATTATTTGAAATGGACAAAGGCAGTATTGCATGATACTTTTAGATCTACAAAGGGCATTTGATACAGTTGAACACACTATACTGCACATGAAGAAGTTGTTTTTCTTCTTCTTCATGAAACTTCAAGCATCTGCCATATACAATGTATAATGACATTCTTACATGGTTTAAGTCTTATCTCTGATAGTAGCTGGTTGATGTGGCTGGAACTCATTCTACTACTGCTCCGAGTACCTATGCTGTCCCCCTGATGTTCATTTTAGGTCCTCTTTTATGTCTAATATATGTCAATTACATGTCTTCAACCCTAAGCAATAAGCTTTTATTATAATGCACAGGCACGAGTATCAGACCTTGGAAGAAAAATATGGTCAGATTGATAAAAAAACCTGTGAAGTGTCAACAACCAAAATAAAATGTAAATAATGACCCCTTTAAAAATATACTTCAAGTTGATAGTATATTTTTAAAGGGGATCATTATTTACATTTTTTTTTTTTTTTTTATAAACACAGTTTTTTTTATCAATCTGGTCATCTGGTCATATTTTTTCTTCCCAGGTCCGATACTCGTGCCTGTGATTATATGCTGATGACTCAGGAATCCTTGTGTCTCATAAAATAAATCTGAAGAAATTCTTTCTTATAGCATGAGTCTTATAAGATTGCTTAATTGACTATAAATTGTCTTTGCATCTTGGCAAGACAGATTCTATTCTTTTTTGGTTTAAGTTTCAACTTAACTGGCCCTAGCCTCCAGGTCACATGTAATGGTACTGCTATAAGTACATATCTTTTGTTAAGTATTTAGGTGCAAATCTGGATCAAATTCTTTTGGCGTCGCCCTTTGATGCTTTGCATCAATGCTTTTCTTGTAATCTTGTATTTATTATCATATTATGTTTTAATTATATACGTGTATACTGTATACTACACAATAATTGTCAATTATTGTCATATAAGCAATTTATCAATTTATCTAGTCACAGTATTCCCATTGTAAATATGTGAACTTTCTAATTATTGTCATGCATATAATTTACAGACAGATAAAATGTAATATCTTAAAATAACTTCATTTTTCAGGCACAGGAAGTACTTTATGACGCAAATCAACAATACGGACCAATAAAAACTAAAGCTACAGTATATGTTATGTTACGAAGCAAAGGTAAATAAGCGTTTAAATTTGTATAGCACACATGGAACTATACAGTAAATAATTAACACATGGGTTTGTGGGTAACAGTAAAAATATCATCCCGAGGAAAGTAAGGGGTGATATTTTTACTTTTACTCACAAACCCGTTACGTAATAGAAAGAGCACCGAAACACGAGGCTATCTGATTTGTACGAGGGGGCGTAGCCCCCGAGTATTAATCAGATTGCCGAGTGTTTTGGTGTTCTTTCTCTTTTGTATCATAGTCAAACATAAAAGCACGTTCCCTGTTGTCATAATATGAAACCCCGGCAAAAATGAACCAATGAACGAACATCTGAATATGACATTTCTGTCGCTTTCCCTTTCTCTGCCGTCACAATATGTAAACCCAAGCAAAAATGAGCCAATCAATGGGCATGCTCTGGAGTGCGGGTAACTAATACCCGCACTCCAGTTAACGCACTGTGCATGTATATGTATACGATTTAACCCTGACACATTTTCAACAGAAAGGTCTCCAAACTATGATACAAATTCATATTGTATCATAGTTTGGGGACCTTTCTGTTGAAAAAGTGTCCGAGTTAAATCGTATACATATACATGCACAGTGCGGTAACTGGATTGCAGGTATTAGTTACCCGCACTCCAGAGCATGCCCATTGATTGGCTCATTTTTGCTGGGGTTTACATATTGTGACGGCAGAGAAGGGAAAGCGACAGAAATGTCATATTCAGATGTTCGTTCATTGGTTCATTTTTGCCGGGGTTTCATATTGTGGAACAGAGAACGTGCTTTTATGTTTGACTATGATACAAAAGAGAAAGCACACCAAAACACTCGACAATCTGATTTATACTCGGGGGCTATGCCCCCTCGTACAAATCAGATAGCCTCGTGTTTCGGTGCTCTTTCTATTACGTATTACATCTACCCCAAACAATAACTGTGAAGATTAACAGTACAAATTTCTTAGTTACATGGAACACTTGCATAAACAGGGGCCACTAGGGAAATACACATTACACAAAAAGTTAGGTGTAATGATACAATATGTTTAGCATGATTATTTCTTTTCTATTAACTCTCGTATTATATCATTTAGAATAAACATTCTAGCACATATAATGTCCATTGTTTTTGTAACATTTGTGATATCTGTAATATATTCCAGCTCTAGGCCGATATTCTTGGATAAGGTCACGCATTTATTATCCAACTATCAATCTCCAAATTAAAGAGTATTAAAGAACGAAAACTTATGTACTCAAGTTTTACATACAAGACCGGAAGAGTTGACTTTCTTGAATACTTAATACACTACATTCCTCCCCTTATTAAATATGAAACCCTTCATTATTTTTCAAGCATAACACATATAAATCTGTTACCATTAATTACAAAAGTTTGCCAGAGTTGAAATGCAAGACCTTATTCATTTATAAAATAAACACACAATTCTTTAACATATGAACATTTTAAACAAAATTCTAAACAATTTGTAATGTAAATACTTTTATAAATACGAGTTAATAATACAATGTACCTCATTGTTAAAAAAACAAAGTTTAACTTTATGTATATGAACTTTCAGTTAATTCTTATCCATTACAAAGTCTTCATATCTCTTAGGCAATGTTTTTACTCTTGATGGTCTTGTCATAATCTTTGTAGGTGTTACACTTTTAGTTTTTATCGGAATTGCTTCCCTTTCTATAGACACATTTGGATTACTGTGAATTGAATCTTCTCCGTTCCCTTTCTCATTTTCAATTAAATTTTCTACACTCTCATTAATAAGCTTTTCATTTCTCAAATCAACATTTCTCTGAACAGAATTTTCAAGCACATTTCTATTTTCTGATTGAACATATTTCTTATCATTTTGCGACACATTTTCATCTATATTAGCACTACAACTTTCATTGAATTTTTTCACATGTGATACATTTCTTGAATATCTAGTTCCATCTTTGGATTCTATCATGACACTATTTCCTTGCCTTTTGGTCACTAACATTGGCTTTGGATTGAATACTGTATAGATAACTTATTTTGTTTCCTTTGTTTCACTAATACATCTCCTTTGATATCACTCTCCATAGCTCGTCTTTGTCTGTCCGCATATATTTTCCCTTTTCCTTTCCTTTCACTGTCTCAATCCCTTACTTCCTGATCATAATTCATATATGAAAAATCTGAAATATCTGGACTTTTTTTTCCACATGTTTCTCCGAAACAACATGTAGGCTGGCGAGCCACCAGTTGTACTTTGTGGAGTTGATCTATACATCATCAAGAAAGTCTGCAGCTCCTCTTGCCAATTTCGATTCTCTGCATGTGATGTTCTTATACGTTTCATTATTGATTTATTCTGAATTTCGACTTCCCCATTTGCTTGAGGCCATAACGGTGTTGTATTTCTGTGTTCTATATATTATGTTTCTAGATATTCCTTTAGCTCTTAACTGTTGAAATTCTGAGCATTATCTGTTTGTATTGAAAATGGCAGTTCATGTACCGCAAACAAACTTTTAAAACACTTAATTATCTTGTCAGATGTTATTGTCTTAAGAATAAATATTTCAATCCATCTCGAGTAGTAGTCCACAACGACTAAAAGATTATGTCCTGATGGTAGTGCCTAAAAAGTCTGCACATAAGTGTTCCCATGGTTGTGACGGTAACTCTCTTCTCTTCATTGGTTCCGGTTTTTGAGTGTTACTAACTAGTTGGCAACCATAGCACATTTTACAATACTTTTCTATGTCCTTGTCCATTCCAGGCCACCATAATTTAGATTTAAGTCTTTGTTTCATAACAACAATACCTGGGTGTCCTTCATGACCTAGAGCCAAATTCACTTCGAAGTGCATTAGGAACAACGATTCTCGTACCGCGTAATATCAATTTTCAAAGAGCAGATAAGACATGTTTAATAGGTAAATAGTTCTTATTAGTGACTTCAAACCATCTACCAGTTTTCAGTATTTGTTGAATTTCATTTAGTTCAGGATCTTTTGCTGATTCTTCCTCAATCTTTCTTGCAGTCATAGCAATGGGTATGTCTTCAGACGTAACAAATCTTACATATTACTCTGTTTGCAAAAAATCATAATTATCTTCTGATATCGCTTTTTTCGGAATCAATCGTGACAACGAGTCAGCAATATTTTCTTTACCCGGTATATATTTTACTGTGTATGTAAATGCTTGTAATCTTTATACCCATCTTTCTATTCTAGCACATGGTTTGGACCTCCTTGAAAACAAGAATTCTAAGGCTTTATGATCTGTCATTTATTCAAAATTCATTCCAATTAAATACATTTGTAACCTCTCACACGCCCAAACTATTGATAAAGCTACTTTTTCAGTTTGTGAGTATTTCCGTTCAATTGGTGTGAGCGAACGACTTGCATATAATATAACTCTTGATTCCCCTTTTTTGTTTATTTGTGTCAACACACAACCTAGACCTGCTGGTCCCGCATCACATATACCTTGTGTTTTGTCTGAACGATTGAAATATCCTAAATTCTTTGCATTAGAAAGCACTTTTTTCAATTGGTCAAAGCTTTCTTGCTGTTCAGTGTCTCATTTGAATGCAACATCTTTTCTACTCAACTTTCTTAATGGTTCTGCTATTTCAGCTAAATTTGGAATAAAACGCGAACTGAAATTTACTAGTCCCAAGAAGCTTTTAACTTCAGATACAGTTTTGGGTTCTCTAGTTTCTAGTATAGCTTTCACTTTCTCTTCAGATAGTCCTACTCCATATTTTGACAAAACAATACCCATGAAATCAATGTGAGACATGTTAAACTGACACTTGTCTAAATTTAAAGTCAATCCCTTTTCTTGTAATCTCTGTAATAATGCATGTAGTCTAGCATCATGTTCTGCAGTATCTTTTCCATGTACAATTATATCGTCAAAGACATTGTTAACGCCTAACAATCCACTTAACACTTGTGAAAGTACCTTGTTGTAGATTTCTGGTGCACAACTTATTCCAAACAAAAGTCTTTTATATCTATACATCCCTCAATGAGTCATGAATGTAGTTATCTCCCTTGATCGTGTATCCAATTCAATTTGGTGATACGCCATCTTAATGTCTAGCTTTGAAAATACAGCTGAACCATTCAAATCTTGCAAAACCTCTTCTGTTGTTGGTACAGGGTATCTTTCCCGAATTACAGCTTAATTTGCACGCCTCATATCTACACATAGGGTGACTCCTTCATTCTTAGGTACTACAACAATTGGACCAACCCAATTACTTGGCGAATCTACTTTCTCTATTATATCTAATTTTTCTAAATTATCATGTTTTTTGTCCAGTTTTTCACGTAAACCATATGGAATTCTCCTTAATGGTTGAATAACAGGATCAACATTCTCATTCACGGGAATATGTAATTGAAAATCTTTAAATTTTCCTACTCCATTAAAGCAATTTGGAAATTTCTCCCTCAGTTTAGCTTTTTGTGCACTTTCTACAATCTGTAGAAATCTTTAAAAGTCCTAATTTCTAAGATGTACTTTTACTAAGCAATGCTTTACCTTTCTCCTCAATGACAAGAAATTCAGCTGCTTCCCGTTTGTCATTCACTGAAATAACCGTACTGAAACATCCTGCAACTGGTAATGGTTTCTTATGTCCATATGCATTAACTTTCTTGTCTGTTAAACTTGGACTTACATTTCACTTTATTTTGTTCCAATCTTTCCACAATTCCGATCAATTACGTTTACAGAAGCTCCAGAGTCTACAATCACAGGTACCATAATGCCTCCAATATTTACAAGTATATCTTCATTCTTGCATGACAATTCACTAACTGTAAAAACATAATCCGAATCTTCGGAATCATTTTGCTCTTCATCACAATTCACTTGAAGAACTTTATTCTTACTCTTAGATTTCCAGTATTTAGCTTTACCCATACATTTTAATTTACAATATCTTTCTAAATGTCCAACCTTTTTGCATTTCCGGCAGTTTTTTCTTTTAGCGGGGCAATGTGGATCTGATTTGATATGTCCTTCATGTCCACATGCAAAACATAATACTTTAGTTTTATACCCATGATTTACATGCATTCTGCTGAATCTTGTGGACACTTTATTCACATGTTCATGATTTGTTGATGTTGTTTGTTCCATCGCAATAGCTTGAGATTCGGATGCTTCTAAAGCAATAGCAATCTGTCTACATTCATCTTATGATGGATTATCTTTTTCTAACAGTTTTCTTGTCAGTCTTTGTGAATAACACTTTTCAATTAATTGATCACGAATATTTTCTTCAATATTATGAAAATTACAGTTCACAGCTTTCTGTCTCAATCTTGTTATATACTGGTCAACTGATTCATTTGGTAGCTGTGTAATTCCCCTGAATTCAGACCTCTCAAACGCAGATTTCACTTTCGGTTTAAAGTACGTATCCAACACTTTCTTCGCAACCTGATATACATCCTCTCCCTCCCCAGGATCTGGCACTTCCTGTGTGAAGAAAATGTCCTGAACACTTAGGCCTGCTGAATGCAATAACAAAGCTTTCTTTTGTGCGGCGTCTTTTACACCTTTCCCTTCAGCGTAAAGTTCAAAACTTCTCAACCAACGAGTCCAACGAAAACCCAACGTTAAACGATCACCAAGTTCAAATCGTAAACTACCAGAAATGTCCGATAAATTTACAGGAGCCATCCCGTAAGCATCAAAAGGAAGTTTTGATTGATCCTCGTCGCCAAATATTTATGTAATATATTCCTGCTCTAGGCCGATATTCTTGGATAATCTAACTAAGGTCACGCATTTATTATCCAACTATCAATCTCCAAATTAAAGAGTATTAAAGAACGACAACTTATGTACTCAAGTTTTACATACAAGACCGGAAGAGTTAACTTTCTTGAAAACTTAATACACTACAATATCTACATGTTTCTACACAGTTACTTAAATATTTGTTATATCTATTAACAGAAAGCCAAGATGAGTTTGACAGATGCAGTAGTGATAGTCCAAAAGTGGTTGGAACATTGTTGGTTACACTTCTTATTGGCATACAAAGATTCATTTAATATATATACAATAATACATGTCTTAAAAAAATAATTTATTAAAATATTTATCAGTATTGACAATTTATTTATCAGTATTGACAATTATTATTTGAGCTAAATGTTTCTATATATTCTAATTCTTAGATGAATTTGCAATGATGCGACCCGACATTTTTGTGATATGACATTGACAAACGGGTACAGGTTTCCAATTTTTCCCACTGGGTTTTATTTGGTTTTTCCTGGGCGAGTCGACCACAATTTGCAAGTTTCATGGTATAGGAAATCAAAAATGTTTTTATTTTACTGTTTTTCACATACCTAACTTTATTGATCATAATCTGAAAACTGGAATTTATCTTCCATAATGCAAAAACGTTTATATAATTGATACATTAGTGTGTTAAATCCAGTCGTGACTTTATATAGTATTCATGTAACTTCTCCAAGTTAAATAATGTTCAAGACTTTTCATTATCATTGCGAATATTTCATTGTTAATAGATTTAATTTGCAATTTGCCCTGATTTCTTTTTAGCTTTGTTATTGTTTTACTCTTGTAAAATGCTACGCCGCTTTACATTTTAAATCGTTGTCCTCGTAGCGGCAAGCACAAACAGAGTCTAGCACTTTCAGAGCTTATTATCATAGTTTACAGCATTTTGCGTTGTTAAGTAGCTTTCCATGCATTTAGCTGGGAGCTGTCTTTCATATTTTTTCTCATTACATTTTTTATTTCATTTCATATTTTTTGTCGATGATATTTGTTTTCACCAAAATGCACAATAAAGTCACGGCCTTATTCCAATCAATTTGTGTTCTGTTATTTTATTCACAATTGACTATTTATAAAACAGTTATGTTTTCTCCTGGGAAATATAACCATTTGTATAAGAAGTGTTGCGCAGTTCCAGACGGTGCTATATCTGCCATGCAGAGATATGTGAATGAGGATCTTTAGTTCTACCGTTTTAATAGCTTAGAAATGCTACTATTGGTTTTTCATAAATACGTATCTGCTATATATGGTTTTGTTCATTTATAAAGATTGCGTCATCTAAGACCCCATATCTTCCAACGAAAGATTTCTCAGCAATAACTAAAGTTCCGTCTGCTTTCGAACCTTGTCGCTGGAAAACTACTTAGTAGTAAGAACACCCGTTAATAAATTAAGCAACGAGAACATCGTGTCACATGGAGTTGAAATTGCATTTATATTTAAGCGTTATACAGTCTCGATAAATTTCAAAATAGATCTTAAAGTTTCTAAACGTCACGACAAATTCACATTCGGAAGATCCCATCGTATGAAAATGTGGTATATATATGCGATTTCTAACGTCAGTTCTTACGAAAAGTTTTTTTCGGGCCCCAACAATCAGGGTGACACCATTTATTCGCCCCGTTCCAATGATCGGTATTGGTTGGGGAACCATACCATACTGACCTTACAAATTCTCTTGTCTATATGCTTATATACATGTAGCGAAAATTTATAATACATGATACATGTTCATAACAAGAGTTTATGATTTAAAAGAGTAGGCTGTGATGGTACATGTACCCTAATCGTTGGCTCCTTTTTATTGGATAAAAAAATTTAAAAGAAAAACATGAGAGAAAAAATAATAAAAACTAGAAATGAGTCCATAGGACACGGGTGCCCCAACACTCAACCGATTTGTCAATCTTATGTCACTAGATCAAATATTGTTCTGGCTATGTGTGCCCAAGTTGAAAACTAAAAATCTTTTATTAAGCAAAAGGCAAATACTACAAATACTGAATAAATCCACAAGAAAACCCCAGGGTGCATAAGTACACATGCTGACGAACATTCTTGAAAACTTTCAGGCCTACAGGTCAAATATTTTTTGAGTTATGTGTGACACAAGTTGAATATTGTAAAGTTTTACTAAGTCAAGGGCAATAACTCTAAAAATACTAAATATATCCACATGAAAATACCCAGGTACACAACTACACATGCTGAGCAATATTCCTGTAAGGTTTGATGAGTGTAGGTCAAATACGTTTTTAGTTACGTGCGACGCAAGTCGAAAATTGGAAATATTTACTAATTCAAGGGCAATAACTCTAAAAATACTAAATATATCCATACAAAAATACCCAGGTGCACAACAACACATGCTGATCAACATTCCTGTAACGTTTCATGACTTTAGGTAAAATATTTTTTGAGTTACGTGCACACAAATTGAAATTTGGAATTTTTTACTAATTCAAACGAAATAAATCTAAAAATACTAAATATATCCACACAAAAATACCCAGGTGCACACCTTCACATGCTGATCAACATTCCTGTAAGGTTTCATGACTCTAGGTCAAATACTTTTAGAGTTATGTGTGACACAAGTTGAAAATTGCAAATATTTACTCAGTCAAGGTCAATAACTCTAAAAATATCCACACGAAAATACCCAGGTGCACAGCTTCACATGCTTAGCTACATTCTTGTAAGGTTTTATGACTCTAGGTCAAAATCTTTTCAGAAACGTGCGACACAAGTCCAAAATTGCAAATTTTTACTAAGTCAAGGGCAATAACTCTAAAAATACTAAAATATCCACACAAAAATACCCAGGTGCACAACTTCACATGCTGAGCAACATTCCTGTAACGTTTCATGACTTTAGGTCAAATATTTTTAGAGTTATGTGTGACACAAGTTGAAAATTACAAATTTTTACCAAGTCAAGGGCAATAACTCTAAAAATACTATAAAATATCCACACGAAAATACCCAGGTGCACAACTATACATGCTGAGCAACATTCTTGTAAGTTTTCATGACTCTATGTCAAATACTTTTTAGTTACATGCGACACAAGTTGAAAATTGCAAATTTTTACTAAGTCAAGGGCAATAACTCTAAAAATACTAAATAGATCCACATGAAAATACCCAGGTGCACAACTTCACATGCTGATCAACATTCCTGTAAGGTTTCATGACTTTAGGTCAATTACTTTTTGAGCTACGTGCGACACAAAAAGGGAACGAACGGACGGACGTCCGTCCTCGGGAGCAAACATTTTGGGTTTAGGGGCTATTTTCTTTGTTATTTTCTTTGCTACTAGCCCCTTAACCCTTTGATCACGGAATGAACCTATTGTTCTCTTTTGTTCTCTTTACTGTTATATAGCCCCTAAATCCAAAATGTTTGCTCGGACGGACGGACAAGGGCAAATCTTAATCCCCCCCCCGCCCTATAGTGGGGGCACAAAAATAGATGATTGGGATTTGGAGTGTTTGCACCATGCTAAATGAGTCTTTTATAAGGTGTGAAAAGTTTGCCAAGTTTTTTTGAATATTTCTACATTATCGTTTTTCAACGCTATCATTTGTTGTATTGGAAATTTTGTAGTTCAGTTCAGTGTCCTTACAACATAAAAAGTATTTGTAAAGTATCTCTCTACATCTTGTTCTTTTAGGTGACATTGAACTAAAACTTTTCCACCTTTAAATTTTAACTCATTCATATAGATAAGCTTCCAGTCACCGTTGAATTCCTAATTAATTATCTTTTTTACCCACGATGCTTTTATTGAATTTAAATATATATCCATCAATTTTAGGCCCCCATTTTCGTACTCTTGAATGAGGATTTCCCGCTTAACTTTGTCTTTTTGTCCCCCCCCCCCCCAAATGAATTCAACGGAATTTTGCTTTATAAAATTTAGTTCAGTTTCACTTGGATTCGGAAGTACCGATCACAAGTAAGTCAATTTAGGTAGAATAAATGTTTTGAAAATTAAATATTTGCTATTGTATTTAACTTGACATGTATCTAAATTTTCAATATATTGATTGTGTTTATAAAGGCTTCTATTTTATTTTTATAATGGATATCATTTATAAGTTTTGGGGTTGAGTTAAAAGTAATTCCTATAGTTTTAGCTTGTTTATATTTGCAGTCAATTTTTTACCGTGAGTAAATCAAATCATGCTGATTTCGTAATGATCCTATATTTAGTATAATGCACTTATTATAGTTAAGTTTAAGACCGGTGTAGCGTGAGATTCGTCAGACCCGTGAAAAATGTAAGATCTTACGAATCTCACGGGAGGGTCGTGAAAAATGTCAAACGTGAGAAACGTAAGACTATTTTAGTGGAGAACATTTCCTGTTGCAATTAAATTAAATACTGTCAATATTTCATTGCATCAATAAAGTAATGGTTAAAGCGAAGGAGTTTGTCTGTTTTTACGAGTAAATAATAACAATTTTAATCAATGTTCGGCTTTAAAAATAGCCGCTCGGATGTTCATGATTTTCTACAAATTAATTCGTATTTATATATTTTGCATAATTACTAAGAAGTTAATATGAAGTAACTAATGGACCACTCCTTATGTTTTTAAAAATAAAATAAATACAGTAGTGAATGTTGCTGTCCATCTATGAGTGAATTACACAAATGCCGAGTAGTAAATTGAAATCATCTTGTTCGGCCCTAAATGAACTCGACCGAGTCGATCATCTCTGCCAAGATCTTAATGTATCCATTCAAATAATCCTTATGATCTGTTAGGAAATTATGAAAATAAGTTTTATAATAAATAATAAAACCAGCGGGTATTAATTAATTTCACATATGGTCATACTTGAACCCTCACCTTTCTTTAAACCTATAGATACCGTTTACCACAGACACCTGGGGTGCCTTTAAAATCCAAATAAAATATATCTTTGTCAATCCCAGCTTATGTACTGGTTATATATGTAAAAAAAACCAACTTAATATAAGCCGTTTTTAAAAAAAACATATTTCAAGGTCTATAATAATACACACACACGAGCTCCACATCCCAAGTGTCTGTGCCTTTACCTTTACACTGTGCTGTCCTATAAACTTACATGTTAGAAGATCTTTCGTTGTAGCAGGAGACTGTACATTTGGTGTCAGTCAATATGATGCCAAATTGTTCAAAAGTATCAATTGTTTTTTTTCAAAACTTTGTATTGAACCATCTTATAATATTGTTGCATCATCAGCGAACATTACATTTTTAAAAGTTTTCCAATATATCTATATGCCTTTAATATTGTTCCGAATTTGATAAGACACGATTACAATTGTTTAAATTATC